CGCTTAGGACGGGACCATGTAGTTTAATGTTAGGCACCTACGACGCGTTTTTATCAGTAATAGCCGGATTTGCTTTGGCAATTCATTATTGTCTTTTCTCCTCCTGCCCGGATAGATGAAATGATCGTGCTTAATCTTTTGACAAATTACTTGCCGTGCTACCCGTTCAACTGTCGAGTCATTGTGTATGCTGACGAACCCCAAGTTGCTGGATCGGGCGAAGACATATGACCAAAATCACAGCGCTCTTCAGACACAAATTGAACATACCTTAGCGACCATGAAGAGCTGATTCCGCTCCAACTCTCTCACAATGAATCCACAAAATGACTTCATTTCTATAAGAAGCAGGCGAAATACGAAAAGGTGCACAATTTTCGATTGGCTATCGCCAATGCCCTAAGTGCTCAATGACTATGTGTCATCCTTTCGCTGGGTCCGGCTGCTCGGTGTCATCGACTCCATTCTTTCTTGGGATTGACACATCAATCAGGTGCTCAAGAAGTACAACACGTTTCTGATACCTCTTTTTCGCCTGTAGCATTACTTCACCTAGGACATATCAAAACTTCTGATCGAAACCCACGTATTCTCTCATATTTGTATTGTTTTTCGGCATGGGGAGGCGCTTCCGAAAATCAACTGCCCAGGGTCCAGAAAGTTGTAAAGTTTGCGGCCAGGGTTGTGACAGGGGACCCGGCGTCGGGACAAGATTGGTCCACGACTCCAGGCTCTGTGATGGAACCAAATAGAGCGGTTAGTCGAGGTGCGGGCCTCACCAAAGTCCATATGGCCTTAAATTGTCAGAACAGGCCCCCATATTGCGCAGCATGTTCGCCGTCCAGTCCTCGGCGTCCCACGGCGCCAATCACTCCGCCGGAGCTAGACGGCTGGAGCTGCCAACATACTGGCTGACGCTCTCGCAGAGCGGTTTTCCTGGGTACCGAGCGTCGTCCCCGTGGAAAAGGCCACCAGCCGGTGTAAATGAGTGCCGCTCACTGTCCGCGTTCAAGCATGCCCCGTGAGGAACATGAGCAGCTGGGCAGAAATTTGAGATGCGACGATCGTATGGGCGATGTACGCTCACACTCGCATGTCATTTTATCTTCGCCTGTTTGCAGTGTTTTTATTCGTGTACATTCTGTGTTAAGTAGTGCTGGTAATGATCGTTTACTTGCCTTAGTGCTTAGATGCATAGGTCTCAGGCGATGAACTTTTCTATATTGTTCTGACATCGTGTACTGGACGCAAATCCGGAGGAGCCATTTGATGGACGGAATTTAGATTGAATACGTACATACATACATACATACATGCATATACGCATGCATACACCCACATCCACACCCACACACACATACACAAACACACACACACACACCACACACACATATATATATATATATATATATATATATATATATATATATATATATGCATACATTCACACATTTATACATAAATACATACATACATACATCGGTTTTACTCTTCTTTATCTTGGGTTTGCCGCGTTTCAGATTTGGTATCGAGTTAGTTGTTCGTCTAATAATAGATAAAAAAACGTGCAAAATATAAGTTTGTATTTTAAGGTGGTAAATAGATAGTTCAGAGCTGTGAACTCTCACACCGTATGATGTAACATAATTCCGTTGAGCTATTGCTCGATGCAGTCCGTTTGGGCGATCGTGATAATCTCACAAGTTTCATGCGAACAGTAAACCAGGTAAACAAGATGCATTTAGATTTTGGCTCACCAGTTACCATTCCGGTTGGTCCCTCGCTTTGCTCACATGCTCACCATTTCCGAACAAATGCTATTGCCCGTAGATCACGGGACCCTTTTCCCACGGGCCCACTCACGAGTAACGGGTGCCGATGGCGCAGTTGTTAACGCATCTGTGTTAAACACTGCGCATCTGGGCAACCATAAGTACGAGGCTCGATTCCTGGTGGTGCAGGCTCTTCCTGCCAAGGTGAGAGGCAGGCGGCGCCAGCAGCTGTAATGTCCCAGTGACGACTGCGACCACTTGCGAGTAGGGGCCAACCAGCGGCCAAGGAACTCTGCAGGAAATCACCGGCTGGCTGCACCACACGCAAAAAAAAACAGAGGTAAACAGATATGAGGATAGTCGGAGCAAAAAGCGGAGAAATTCGATGCTTTGTTTCCACCTTACAGCCGTTCTTGGCGGCTTTAACTCTTTGTCCTGCTCCAATAAATTTGAGAAGCCAACGCCCCTGGGCAAAAGGTGTGCTGATAAAGTCGCATGTGCTGGCCCTTGCCATGAGATGCGGCGAGGAAATACCACCGCCACGTCACTTCCGGTGCGTGGGAACATCCCGTTCTTCTAGTCATTTGTTGTAATATCATCGCATTTGGTGAGACACCCCCTACTCCCAATAGAAATCAGGGTGCGCGTTTATCCGTACAGGGAGCACAAAGCACAGTACGTTGCTCACATGTGTGGAATCCACACATATGAGCAATCCACACTGTGGTTTACTCATATAGATTGTGCATGTTTGTCACACCTTTGTCATACCTTTGCAATACAGTCCAACAATGGCGTAGCCCGGATTTCACCAGGAAGAGGTCATATCGGGCCACTATTTTATTGCCTCGGTTCTCCGTGTTTCATGTCTTCAAATCCTGCCTGGTGTTTTAACTGCCCAGAAGTACTGGGGCCGCCCCGCCGTCTACAGGTGGGTGTGTGGGGGGGGGGGGGGGGGGGAGTGGCCCTAAAAGCTGCAAGTTGGTTACACTACTGTAGTTAAGAAAACGACACATTACGATTGTAGCATTGCTAGCAAAAAAGAGCACTGAATAATTAATTTCACAATGCTCACTTGTGTTCGACTCAGGCGTTTTAGCCGGCTCAGGACCGGCTCACGGGTTTTGGGATCCGATTCAGCTCATGGTCACAGCTGTTCCAAATTTTGTATTCAACTCAGTTAAGTGCCGTTGCTTGCACTGATCCATTTGACTCACTTCTCAAGCAGCTTGCAAAATCAAAGATCCGAAGTTCCGGCTCGTTGCCTTATGACTCGTGGCGATATCATGCGTTCATATATGCATAAGCCATATATATATATATATATATATATATATATATATATATATATATATATATGCATATATGCATACATATACATATACATATATATTACAATAGCATGGAAAATAGGTGCAAATACCCTGGCAGTAACTTTGTAGTTTGAGCCTAGCAAATGCAGTGTTGCAAACAAAAGCTTTCTTGTTACCTGCTACCAACCATCTCTCTCGAGCCTCATCTCTAGGCTAAGGCGTTCTACCAAGCACCTCTGACTCGGACCCATTGGTTTAGCATGCAAAATGGACCAGACTTCACTAAAGCTGCCAGTTAGGAGTCTGCACCTGCCAAGCGCCAGCCAAGTGCACTCACATGTACGTAACCACATCTCCACTAGTCAGCATTGGCCATGGTCTCGGCAATGGCATATCAAGAACCCAACGTCAGATCGCAGTTCTAGCAATAGCGATTACCTAGCATAAGTCACAAACGTATGATGAACTTACCCAATTTAAGCAATAAGCATTACGAAATACGATTTTGATCTCATCTCACTACCAAGCTCAGCAAAAATTATTCTCACTCGATCACCGTCTTCCGGTCAGCAATGTACTGACCTGAGATGAACTTGACTGAGCAACTGAATTAGACATAGGCTAAGGTAGGCGACAAATGCTGTCTCCTCCAGGATATCTGTGCTGAGTGCGGTGCACCACCATATAAGTCGTGGAATATGGGTAAACCATATTCCACGACTTATAACTTCGGTGGCCAAAGTCTCACTTGCAAGTTGAGTGTTGCGTCGAAAAAGTTATTGGTCAAATCCCTGAGAGGTCACGTTTCACGGTATATAATCCGAGTATGAGACGAGACGACCCTCCACTATTGCAGTTTATTTCATATAGCCTTAGCAATAACATGCTGACAGCAGGTCGAGTAGTAGTGAATGAGGGATCAGATATGAACCAGCTGATTGTTGTGACGCTTGACAATGACAAATATGATTAACCCTTTGATTTTATAGGTAGCAGACAATATTTCACTGATTTTAGGGTAGATATAGGAGTGCAGAGTGTCTGTATCATGTAATATCCTCCAGTTCTTGGCCGAGATTTGGCAGACTTATGTTCAGGATCAACATCATTGTGTTTTCTGCTTAGCGTTACAATCACAAACTTTGCATTGATTTTGAAAAAAAACTTTGTAACTACTGCTGCATGCTGTTCATTTGAACGCTCAGCCGACTCAGCTCACGACTCACCCCCCCCCCCCAAAATTGACTCATGAGACGAACCATGCTTCAACTTGAGTCGAACACAAATCTGCCACAATGATCAGTTAGCTATGTACTGAGAAGAGTTCTTGCCGTAGTCCACCTTTCAACATGTCAGGAAACGGTGTCAGAGCAGAATGCATCGCGTGCGGACGAAGAGAGCGGGTTGGGAGCAGAATGACCGGAGGGGGAGGGGGGGGGGGGCGCGCATCGCGTCCCCGAGTCGCCGCAGCTACCCGGCCGTCGTGCGCTCACCGCTCGGTGGAGAGGGGGGGGGGGGGGAGGTCATAGCCCCAGAGCAAGGCACGCGGCTCCGTCTAAGTGCCCCCACGGGCGGTCATTGCGATACAGGTCACGCCGTGGAGGCGCGAGTCACCTGCCACCGTCGCCCGGTGGCCGGGCTGGCCGCGCGCCCGCCGGCGCTCGCCGTGAATCATGCAGAGCCCGCTTGGTGCGCCGTGACGGTGCGCGGCTGAGGTGAGCAGGGGGGGGGGGGGGAGGGTCTGCAGATAGTCCGGAGCTGCCGGGAGCGGCCGCGGGGCCGGCGCGCCAGCTGGGCGACCGCACCCTGGTCAGACGGCCGGCGCGCGGGCCCGCCGGCGGTCATGGCGCCGGCCCGTCGCCTGCTGCGGCCCTGCCTGCTCCTGCTGCTGAGCTCGCCACCGGCCGAGGTCACGGCCGACGACGACGCCGGCCGCCTCTACCAGCACCTGTTGAGCGACTACAACCGGCTGATCCGGCCCGTCAGGAACGAATCGGACACCGTCACCGTCCGCATGGGCCTCAACCTATCGCAGCTGATCGACGTGGTACGTGACGGATCGGAGGTGCGGCACGTGGAGACGGACGGGCACGTGGTACGTGATGGTGAGGGACGCCGTTTTACGAGACGGATGAGAGGCGTGGTAAGTGATGGACTGAGGAAGAAGAACACCTGACCGACGGGAGGCATGACACAAGACGGGTGGGTGGTGGGAGTCTTGGTACTTTGGGGAGGAGAGCAGTGGGAGCGGTGATAGGATGGAAACACTCTGTGGTGTGAGCGTGCTCAGGCTACTCCTTGAAAATCTTTTGCATGTAGATAGGTATAACACTCACACACACATATGTATATATACATATACATGCATATATATATATATATATATATACATAGCTAGATATATACATGTATATATGCATTATACAGGCATAATTCAAGGCCATGACGGCTTGTGTTAGCAAAGTCCGTTGCCAAAGCACAGATCCCGAAAACCGGGTAGAACAGATCCGATCGTATAAATGAGTTCGTTTCGACATGTACCCAAATACAAAGTTTCCGTGCCGTGTGGCTCCTTGTCCGGCAGTATTTAGTTATGTCAACCTGCTCTTGAGGGGCTGCCAGTTGTATTTCCATCCGTAGCGAGTTGAGCGAGAAAGAGGGTGGTCGTTCCGGTGCATGGGTAAAATAGCACGCAATATAGATATTGCGTAAAAACGCGCCAAACGCGAACTTGCATTCGCCATTGACAACTTGGTTTTACTGATACAAGGTTGGCTGTATGCTGTCACAACAGGCAAACAAGCTGATCGATGTTGCTGCTGCGACAACGTGTATCACACACCTTTAGGACGCCAAACAAAATTGCTCCATGGGAAACATCGGCATAAAACCCCTACACCTCGTAAGGTCGTCATGAAAAAACAATGTGCACTCTATCAAACATCTAGCACGATGTCTAATCCGTGCCGCAGAGTTTACCCAAAAAGGCTGCAAGTCTTGTGCCTCGAGATTTTCCACGACTTCGATGCGGCAAGCCAGAGATATAGGTTCTGGTAAGTTATGCCATAGCTATGAATCAAGAGACTTCCAAATTTTTTGGATCAGGACCACTCTGTGTGGGCCTCTAACGCAGCATGCACTGGCTCTGCTGCATGACATAAAATAGGCAGATGTTTTTGTTTTAGCTTTGACAGACAGGACAAAACGCTTGGCAAGCTTTTGGTGCGCCAAACGAATTTCATAGTCCACGCCATAAGATTGGATAGAAAATAGTTCCCGACGTTTTTGGGCGTTATAATCCTTAACAGTATACAAATCATAAATTGCATTTCGTGGCATAAAGTTTGATCTCAAAATGCTGTCAAATTTATTGTCGAATTAAAAATTTTCGTGCCATAAGCGAACCAAGCAACAAACGTTTCGTCGTGGCAAAGGTTTCACTACCTCCGGTGCGCCAAAGGTTTGGCACCATTACGAAACTCCGCTCGGGGCCGGACACTACTCGTATGTAGCAAACAAAGCCGTCCAAGGTTTGACAAGATCGTTCGGCTTTTGGCGCATGTATCTAATACATGCATCTGAGTCTGGATCTTGATTTTTTATGAATTGCAACACATGTAGATATGATCTCATGGATATGCTATAAATGGTTATTATTGCTATTGATAAATGGTTATTTTAATTATTCAGTTGACGAAGTGCGCGAAGATAAGAAATGGTGTAAGGGACAACCTAAAATTGTTTCGGCAGTTCGACCTCTGATCCCAGGTCGTGTTAAATCGAGACATTTAATACACAATCTGTTTCATTGAGCATACTGTGCATGCTCTATCGGTCAGTTTCATTGATAAAAAATAATGAAGTGATACAGCGGCACACTTTCCCACAAAGTCTTGCTGCTTTTGTCGTCCAAATGCAAACTGACAGTTACCCAACTGTTGTTCACAATGTTTTCCTCAAAATATAATTTGAAGTGCTGACAATTTTTCAGTATACCCAAGGACTAATCCGGAGCACCCCTTTGGAAGGTAACGTCGGCTGTTGGGGAAAATTCAAAAAGGTGTTTTAACTATAAAAAAACGTCGGATTTCGTTTCCTGTTACATCACGACGTGTTCAAAAATAAACTTGGCTCCGTAAAGGTTGCTTGGATGTTCATCTACGTCCAGAAATGTATTAGTTTCGTCCGACATTGTTCATCATGGGGGAGGCGACTTTTTGCTTGGTTAGGCCTTCTTGGACCCGCCCTTGAATATATTACTATTTGGGAAAATGCATTTTTAATATTGCTTAATCACATGTGAGGCCACTGATACTCTGTCACTAGGTCCAAACCAATGGACGTTTCAAGATCCACGTAACCATTTATTTGTGGTAACTAATGGACACCTTAAGCGTTTTAGTTTTAGATGGCATGCTATTGCTATCAACCAGCCTCATTACGCCTGGTGGTATTTGTTGCAGTCCGGGCCACTTGCCCGTTATTTTCCTGCATCCTTTGAAATTGCCCGCAATTTATCCCCATCTTCACTCGCCCGGTCGCTGTTAAACATCAATTTCGTTACGCTAAATATGTTTATCTTTCTTCTGCTACAATGTTAATTATTCGTTTTCATTCCCGATGTACTTACCAGCAAGGCCAGTCTCCTTGTCAAGGCTCGTCACGGAACGGCCCGTCAGTGTCCACAGGAGCTAATCAGTGGTGGCAAGGGCCTGCAGTGCCCGTACACGACACATATCAGCTATTCGTCGAGCGACGTACACCAGGAAGTTGTGCGGGATTACACAGACCACAGCAATGGCGCATCGCATTTCCAGCGTGGGCGCATGGGTGTTGATTAACCCTACATTTCTCTCTGTCTGACCTGACCTGATGAGCCAACCATGCCAATCCACCTGGGGAATTTCACATTCAGCCGCTCTATGGTGATGAATAGGTGTCCTGTGGAATTGTTGCACCGTGGTGATGAATATTGGGCACTGTCTGCATTTCAAGGAGCTCCGTGAAACTCACATAAATTTAGATAAACGACTCCACGTCCACAGCACGTGCGGCGTCATAACAGAGAACCTCTGTTCTCAGAATATGAAGCACCAGATCATGACGACCAACGTATGGGTGGTGCAGGTAAGGCCCTCCACATTTCCATTAACGCCAGTACCAGGGCTGGTACAGTGGCAGGTGGTATGCACAATGAATAGTCTACACGGGCCGGTCGTCGAAATGAATCAACTAGCCAGCAAATGGCGTTGCATCATACCCGCAGACCACAACTGCAAACGCTCCAGTTGTACAGCATCGGATCTGGTTGACCAGCCGATACCCTGACTGTTGGCACACTGGTCCGTCGTGGCCCGGATAGGCAGATAGGGGCTGCCTCTCTGTAGCCAACCACTCCCAGCGCTGCCCGCTGTGTCGCAGGAGTGGACCGACTACAAACTGTCCTGGAACCCAAGCGACTACGGAGAAGTGCGTACATTGCGCGTGCCCGCTGAGCAAATATGGCTGCCGGATATAGTGCTCTACAACAAGTGAGTTCCGTGGGCCCTGCCGGCGTGACCGGTAACTGAGCGCATCCGGCTAATGACACTGACAACAGTCAGCTGCAGGCTTTCTGGGCAGACCAGTCACGGTGGTCGTACTGTAGCAGTTTAGCGTCGAATTTATATATATATATATATATATATATATATATGAATAAATATATGTATATAACTACGGAATTGTGCATGTAAATGGGCCAAGCGTCTCCAAGCCGGCTTAAAGCGCGCCCGCCTTCAGATGACTTCCTTGGGTGCTTGAGCCGTCCCATAGTTCAAGATCCGCTCTGTTCGCAGTGCCGACGGTAATTATGAGATCACCATCAAGACCAAGGCGGTCCTACACTTCGACGGACGCGTGCGCTGGAAGCCACCGGCCCTCTACAAGTCGTATTGTCAGATCGATGTCGAATACTTTCCCTTTGACGTACAAAACTGCTTCATGAAGTTTGGTAGCTGGACGTACGATAAGTCCAAGGTAGGCTACGAAGGTATGGCTCACGGACTCCGTCACATTTGCCACGTGCACGACCACCATTTACAAAGCAGGACACTGCAAATCAAGCTAAGCCAATAAGAGAAGCAGCTGTTGATTTGGAACCATCCATTTTCGTTGGGCTTGCGTGCCATCGCTAACTTCGCGGAAGTTTTCCGTGATCCTTGGAGCATTGTGAATCCACCGAAAGGTTTCTCAGAGGAATCCACTGAAATGTACGTCTTGCGTGAGCCAAGCAATTTAAGCTATACCGATGAGTCCTGCTGCCCATTGCTGTTACGTTCCACGATAAGGCTGATCTGTATCCCACGGATAATACGACGCTTGAGTGCCCACAGACAAGAGTGCACATATGAAATATGTCCACCGTACCCCTGAATGCCAACTCCTGCATTGCTATCCATAAAGGCATTCGCATCACTCAGTTGCAACCAAGCAGTTCCGAAAGTGGAAATAATGGGAAGTTTTAATTTGATCCATTGATTAATTGATTGTTCGGAGCCTGTGAGAAATCACTGCTCATCTTCATCACAACTGATATGCATGTTTCAGGGGTGCGAAACGCAGCAACATTCCCTGCCATTTTGTTCTGTTTCCCGTTTTACATCGTCGGAGACATTGGTGTGTCCTTTGGCCAGAAATGACGGAAGCGAGTAGCAGTTGAGCAGCCGACCCTTCCCCATCTTTGGGAAAATTTATCATTAACCACATGCTGCTACATGAAAAGAAAATATAAAATACTCCGTTCCACATCGCCACCGGGGACCCAACGTCTCCATCACTGCTGCGCTGGGGTAAACCTGTCGTGGCCATAGGTTGACTGCGCAAGCCTGTCCCTTCGACCTGTCTCGGTAGGCACCGAGAGCCAGCCCCGGTCATGACTGGAGCCAAACTTCCAGCTGGTCCTGCAGCACATCAAGCAGCTGCCTGACTCCGACCTGGTCAGCTACGGGATCGAGCTGGACAACTATTACCTCAGCGTCGAGTGGGACATCATGCAAGTGCCGGCGCTGCGTCACGACGTCTTCTACAGCTGCTGTGACGACCCCTACACGGACATCGTCTTCAACATCACGCTGCGCCGCAAGACGCTCTTTTACACGGTCAACCTTATCATTCCGTGCGTGAGCATCAGCTGCCTGACGGTGCTGGTGTTCTTTTTGCCGTCCGAGTCGGGCGAGAAGGTTTCGCTCTGTATCTCGATTCTGCTCTCGCTGACTGTGTTTTTCCTACTGCTGGCCGAGATCATCCCACCCACGTCGCTGACAGTGCCGCTGCTCGGCAAGTACCTGCTGTTCACCATGACCCTGGTGACCTTCTCCGTCATGTCCACCATCTGCGTGCTCAACATCAGCTTCCGCTCGCCGAGTACGCACCGCATGTCCGCCGGGGTGCGGCAGATCTTCCTGCAGTGTCTGCCTCGTCTGCTCTTCATGTCGCGTCCGGCGCGCCCCGACCCGGACGAGCTGGACGAGTGCGCGTTCGTCGGCGTGGACGAGCCGGCGCTCCTCTCCCGGGACGAGGCGCTGCGCTCTGACCCGGAGCCGGAGCTGACAGCCCCGCCGAGCCGTTACGACTGGGTGCGGTACGGCGCCAGCGGCAGCGGCCGACGCTCTCTCTGCTCGTCCTCATCCTCCTCGTCCTCGTCCGAGAGGCTGGGGAGACGGCTGCCGGTGAAGAGTCCTCTCCTGCTCGACTGCCAGGTGCAGAACGCCATGGCGGGTGTCCACAGCATCGCCCGCCACATGCGGAACAAGGACGCCTATGACGACGTGAGTAGCGCGGGTGCTCCTGTGCCCTGTCTCTCCCGCCCACTTCCGCTACGCACGCTATCTTGGTGGACGGGTTTCACAATCTGCTCGGCCGATGACACGCTACGCACGCTATCTTGGTGGACGGGTTTCACAATCTGCTCGGCCGATGACACGCTACGCACGATATCTTGGTGGACGGGTGTCACAATCTGCTCGGCCGATGACACGCTACGCACGATATCTTGGTGGACGGGTTTCACAATCTGCTCGGCCGATGACACGCCACGCACGATGTCTTGGTGGACGGGTTTCACAATCTGCTCGGCCGATGACACGCTACGCATGATATCTTGGTGGACGGGTGTCACAATCTGCTCGGCCGATGACACGCCACGCACGATATCTTGGTGGACGTGTTTCACAATCTGCTCGGTCGATGAACACGCGTCTGGGTGGCCGGTTGAATGCGACGCGCTCGGATGGTGAGTTAATCCATGGAATATGTCTGCTGCGGTCCTTGTCACTTTTTAATTTTATTTGGTCAAGTTCACAACAAACCTACGAGATTGTTTTCATAGCTAGCTTTAAATAAGCGTCAAGGGCTACGCTAGGTAGCACGTTCCTTAAAGCAAAGGTTGATGGGGATCACTTTAGGTTAGTGACTAGTTCCTAATTCTCTAGAAAAAGAGTGATTTGGTTTTGACCTCGGTCTGAACTTTATACCTGACCCAAGGCCAATGAAACTAGTCATACTCATGAAGTGAACTGTCTTATTGTCTTAAACCCATCTTGAAGAGGTTTGGTCTTGTGTAACAGGTATACGTGTTTTCAGCCAACAGATCGGCTGCTCAGTTGCCTACAGCTCTACCGGTTTTGTTGCTCTTAAGCCATGCCGTTTAAAATCAATTCTGGAAAAATCTTCCGGGGGCGGGTAGAGTGAGTTATACGCGAGCATGTGTTAACGTGTGCCCGGGTGCCGGCTGCCCTTTGCTCGGGTTGGGAGTCAATTTAACTCCCTAGGGTCTCAGAAAGTAAGATAGCTAGATACACCAAATTTACATGGTTAGTTGACCTGTATGTCAATTCACTTGTGTCAAAATTTGAGATCCCTAGATTATGACCTTCGGGTCTGATAAGGTCAGATAAAGTCGCATTCCAGATTAGTGTCTTAAACGCCTCCAGACCTTCTCATGAAACCGTCTTGAAGCTAGATACCTGTCCTGAGCAACGGTCTATGGTCAGTGACCTTGTTGCCTTTTAACAGTCAGAGTCAAGGTGACCAAATACCTAAGAGATTGCTCCTATTTTACCACACAAATAAACACCCAGAATTACGCTATGCATTATATTCCTAAAATCGATATGCTGACCTGGATCATTTTAGGTCAGGGACCTACTCCGACCTTTACAAGTCCATGGGACATGTCTGATGTGCTCTCTATCATTAAAAAATTTGACGTGAGTACCAGAAACTAGGCCATAAACCAAGCTCTTGAGTAAAATGACAGGTTGGTTTTTATCTCGGTCTGACCTTCATATCTGACCCTAGGTCAATGAAACACGTCGTGCTTATAAGTCCAGTTGGTGTATTGCCTACGAAACTATCTCAGACACGTATGGCTTTGTCTTACACTTTCTTGTCGCATCACATTGGATTCCCTAGAAATGCCCTCCGCTGACAGCCATGACATGCTTTTGACCTGCCGAGGTACCCTGACGTACTCAACATGTACCTTGTAATGTCAGTAACACTGCAAGGTGCATCTAATGCTAGCATTAAAAGATACGCTTTTCGATCCTCTACAGCTGTGCGAAGTTTGACGCGGACGCGCAACGCCGTCCAGAAATCATGCTGGGATTCATTGGGTAGCCAAACTGACCGCCACTCGAGCGTGTGTTAAGGTGTTCTGCGTTTTGTGATCACACGGTACATCCATCAAACTGCCTAATGCATCTTATGAGAACGCGAGAGGATCCACCTGCTGTTGTGACTGGTTCGGTGCATACTTCACTATTCCGCAGAAATAGCTGTTATCGCCCGATTGCTTCGTTCATATCCTTAATTTTCGTATGGTATCGGTCATTCAAGTGTCGTGCTGGACGGCAGCAGCTGATCGCCGACCACTCTCCCGCAGGTGAAGGCTGACTGGCAGTACGTGGCCATGGTGCTGGACCGGCTGTTCCTCTGGCTCTTCGCGCTGGTCTCGGTGATGGGCACGTGCGCCCTGCTGCTGCAGGCACCGTCGCTACACGACAACACCATGCCCATCGACCGACTCATGTCGAAGGTGGCCAGCCCGGACCTCAGCACCATGGGGGCCGAGGACGTCTGACGCCTCCTGGCCTCCGAGACACGGGCGCAAGGGAGCTCTGGGGAAGCGTGGGCGAGACGTCTGACGTCTGACGCCTCCTGCGCTCTGAGACACGGGCGCAAGGGAGCTCTGAGGAAGCGTGGACGAGACGTCTGACGTCTGATGCCTCCTGGGCTCTGAGACACGGGCGCAAGGGAGCTCTGGGGAAGCGTGGGCGAGACGTCTGACGTCTGACGCCTCCTGTGCTCTGAGACACGGGCGCAAGGGAGCTCTGAGGAAGCGTGGACGAGACGTCTGGGCTCTGAGACACGGGCGCAAGGGAGCTCTGAGGAAGCGTGGGCGAGACGTCTGACGTCTGACGTCTGACGTCTGACGCCTCCTGGTGCTCTGAGACACGGGCGCAAGGGAGCTCTGAGGAAGCGTGGACGAGGGGACACGCGCACGGAGAAGGTCGGAGCTCACACGACCTCAGGGGCGTGGGAAGACGTGGGTTCACACGGACCCGGCAGCATGGTCGTAAGGGGTCGGGCTCTCACCAGCTCTGGCGGCGGCGTGAGAGCCTTAAGGTCAAGTAGTATCAGAATCATGGGAGGTGTGTAGAGCAAGAAGACAGAGATGAACGCGAGATGACAGCAACCAATTGTCAGAACGGTCATATCAGTATTGCCACTACCAGCTCGGGGGCCAACAGCCTGCAGTGACATCAGCATAAAGGAGTTACCTTTAACGACCATGAAATGTAAAAACTGAGCGACGGAAAACTCCACGTATTGCTGGTCAGTGGAGAAAAATGACAAAATATCAACGGGAGCCTCTTTAAGTACTGCGCAGCACAGTCATGAAAAGACTGTGAAATGAGTGTCCTGTGCTCACAGAAACAGAAAATACCTATACACCACATCAAAAGTTTTTCTTTCATAGATGAGACGCTATGCATCAGTGTTCCAGAAAGTCCCATGACCTACATATATCCGGGATTCCTGGCGCTGTCGTGATTCGAAATTCTGGATCAACCAGACCAAGCAATAATTCTAGATGAGAAACAAGCGAATTTCAAATGCGGGTAAACGTAACTCCTTGAGCTATGCCGCACTTAAGATCCCGTTGCCGAACACAACTATTCACATGCAGAGCCCGCCCACTGACAGCGGCATCTGGCTCCTGGAATTGAAACGCATCAGCCCTAATGGAATACGGCTCAGGTGCGGCAGCCCCTACCTGAGAAAACACTGACCACACCCAGAGAGTGCGTTCTCATGCAAGGCTGTGTACATGCGATTGCTCACACTCCTCGGGGGAACCTAGCAGCCCCTTCATAGCATGACTAAGTCCAAGGGTGGTGCACACGTGCGATGGATGGGATCGCATGTCGTCGTCAGCTGGCGGCATCCTTGTCGCCAGGTACGCCAGGTCCGATGCTGTCCAGACAGACAAATGGAAAATGGCTGACCAGTTCTACATTTGATCGTGATATAATGCAACTAGCGTAGCCCCACCGACACCTGGTGCAATGCCGGAAGGAGGCGGGGGGGGGGGGGGACATTTCGGACAGGTTATGTTCACTACGTTTTGGCATGCTATGCTGTGCTAGGCTATACTATGTTCATACGAGTTGCGAATTGGCTACGTATTTGACATGTATGGAATACCAATTTCTGCTTCGCGTGTGCGTTCCAAAAAGGATGCACCAATGTCATTGCATGGTGTAGTCAACCAATAACGAAAGAAACACCACTTTAACTAATTTCTCATCCTACTTGGCCCATTTTTGCTAGTTACTCCTTCCCTCTTGACGGGATCCCTGATAAGACCTGTGATATTAGATGAAGAAGCACAGACGAGTATGAAAATGCTACCATTAACGTCACTGTAATTAGCCCGTGCAAAAACAAAAACAAAAACAGTGTCCTGTGTGATAATCGCGCTGGAGGATCATGCCGGATTGCTTTACTTTCAAATTTGCTTGGCGATTACTGACTTATTACCAGACTACACTTCTGTCAGACTGCAGGTACCATGACGCAAAAAGAAGACACACCAGTTGTCTTCCTTACACGGGACGACGTACATAACGCACACTTGAGCGATACACGGTGGTAAGAACAGGATGCGCTATAAAGCATGATCCCGATGTAATTTCACATTCTCCTCACATCCTTACAGGGCATCCTCACAAGCCAACGTTGCATTCAAAGGGAGGGGTGATAGGGTCACGTGCTTCCCAATCAAATTGCTACATGTATCAATAGGCATGTGAAGAAATGTCGAAACTTAAAAATTCAGAATAAGGACCTTATGATGTCGGTTTGAGTTTTCTGACCCATGATGGGAAGGGTGCCAATATTTTTGCACTTGAGGGGCATTTATCGTCGCTGTAGGTCCTTCCAGTCAGCGCGTTTTCCAAGGTCTTGGCTCCGCCTGGGGACCTAGGGAACATGTCTCTTTTCCCCACGACGAACGCAAAACATACGTTTTCCGTAGGCGTCACAAATGCGCCTACAACTGTCACTGTGGCTTTGTCACTACAATCTGCGTTTTGAAAGTTGTCAACTCTGATAAACTATGAGAACCGTTCCTAAACCAATGCGTGCTATGTTACATATGTGTGATGGCATAATTTTCACTCAGCAATTTCACTGTTAATCAGCTGTTTCAATTGTCATGTAGATGTCTGAAATGTCATCGGTGTGAAATATATGCTCCGCTACGGTTAATTTATTCTCGCTTCTGTTTATACTTCAGATAAAATATGAGCGCTGAAAACGCGCTGGTACGAGTGCTGGATGATATTTAATCGCCCAAAATCTGTTGGTGCGTAGACTAACAACACATGCTCACCCACCAGAGATGCCGTTTTCTGGAAGGTGTTGTCCAAAATCCAATCAAACTTTCAAGGAGCTTTCCGTGGAAAGCGTCCAAAAATCAGATTGTCCAAAATTTTCAATAGTTTTTTTTCAAAATCAAATAACTGCTACATATAATTTGCTTGCGTCTGCTTCTCTACGTCTACATCTACATCTTCTTCCTGCGCCGTTGCACTCCTTCACTCGAATGAAATGAAACGAAAAAATGATCGTGGGTAGGTATTGTGTATCATAGACTTTCCTGAAAAAACACAACTCACAAGTCGCAACAGCGTCTAATGAGCTGGACCATCACTGAGCTGTTAAACGGCAGCTCAGTCGGATAGGTAATGGCAACCAATCGCAACCATGTAATCAATGAACACAGATCAGATCTGACAGGTCGTCAAATTACCCCCCCCCCCCCCTCCCCACCGCCACCACCACCACCACCCGAGAAAAGGGTATTTTACTGGCCACCCAAGCGCGTGTTAAAATTGCGTAAGTGAAATTTATGTCTCAGCCTAACCTTCGATCGGTACAAACTGATTTTGAAATACTTTCGGAATCATAAACCTTCACCCTGACAGTGAAGGGGTCGTTGCAACATCGTCTGTGAGGTTTTTTGAGGAAAGCTTTACGAAATGCTGCGCGATGGAGCTTAAATTTGTAATAGCTTGTGGATTATTCTAATGCGCGTGTTTTGACACCAAAAACGTATTCAGAGCTTTTCTCGTTTCGGAGCAACGGCGGCTTTTCAGAAACACTGCGCTACGATCTACGGCTGACGCGGGCGGCGGGCGGCAACAGACGATGTCTCAGAGCGCGCTCGGCAGGCCCACATTGTTACGCCAACAGTGCCATTTGTGATTAATATATGCTCAAAACGCACACAAATATACAGGGCTGTACCCAGAATTGACCAAGAAACACGCCTGTTTAGATTTTGTTTTGTGTCACCATGAGTTATGGTCTAGTATATATGACATAAAGATGAAAAAGTACGATTTCTGGAAAATTTTGCATTTGACCTGGTATAGTACGGTCAATTATTGATGTAGCAGCATACAATCTGGTACCAACCACGGGATTTCGTTGATATCAATCCACTGGCGTTTTCTGCTCAGATCTATCTCCATTACTTTGGAAACACCAGGAGTGTGGCATCGCCATCGCTATGATGTGGGAGGCCCGCTGAACAGGGCAGTTGGCCCTGGATGGAAACAGGCCCCTCATTAACGTAAAAGAATCCTTTCCCGGGGTAGAGAATCAATAGATAATACACGGACCCCAGCTCGACTTATCAAACTCCTGTATGAGACAGGCGGAGGACTGGAACCTCTGACTGGCACAGGGATCGTTCATGGTCTTATTTTGGACCCTTTCATTGCGATCTCTCATATCCGCTTCCGTTCTCACAGGACTCATGTTTGGAGATCCTGAGGGTCGCGGGGCAGGAGGGGACTCGGACCCCCCCCCCCCTCCCCTCCCCGCCCGGACAAAAAAACAAATGTGGCAATTCGGTAGTCCAATGGCCCTTTGAGGGCCCCCGTTTGGACGCACGCAGGGCAAAGGAAAATGACCGTACTGAATGAAAACAACTCTGAAAAAGCTTCTTTGCCATAATTAAAGTTCAGACAGTGAAAAGCTGCTCTCTCTCTCTCTTCTCTCCTCTCTCTCTCTCTCTCTCTCTCTCTCTCCTCTCTCTCTCTCTCTCTCTCTCTCTCTCTCTCTCTCTCTCTCTCTCTCTCTCTCTCTCTCTCTCTCTCTCTCTCTCTCTCTCTCTCTCTCTCTCTCTCTCTCTCTCTCTCTCTCTCTCTCTCTCTCTCTCTCTCTCTCTCTCTCTCTCTCTCTCTCTCTCTCTCTCTCCTCTTCTCTCTCTCTCTCTCTCTCTCTCTCTCTCTCTCTCTCTCTCTCTCTCTCTCTCTCTCTCTCTCTCTCTCTCTCTCTCTCTCTCTCTCTCTCTCCATTCCGATGCACAGTAGGCCAAACCTGCCATTCCTGGCCCATTTGACCGTTCAGTGAACCTTTTCTGACCACCAGGGAGCTTAAAGGCCCTTCTAGCTATTTAGTGCCCTCTGGCGTTTCACAGTCCGTTCAGAACAACAAGGCGACCCTGGAACTATGCGTTGCGCGCCCAGTGGCCGCATTATCCGCCCACGGCCCTATGTGCACAAG